ACAAATATTATCTCATTTAAGCCTCACAACAGGCAAACACTTATGTACAAACAAGACACATACAGGATAAGTAAGGGATAGTCTCAGAGGGAAGGCACTAAGATTACGGAAGACTTCTTGCAGAAAAGCCAGAAGGTAAAGATAAGGAAGGACAGCGTTCCACACACGGAAGGCAGACAGTGAAAATGCTCAGAGTTGGGAGATGGAGTATCTTATTTGAGGAACAGCAACATCAGTGTCATTAGATCTCAGAGTATGTGGAGGATAGTAAGGTATAAGAAAACTTCCAAGGCAGGAATGGGCCAGGTTTTGAGGGGCTTTAAAAGCCAAAGAGAAGATTTTATATCTGATCCAGAAGAAAATATGGAGCTAAAGGAGTTTATTGAATGGGAAGAATGACATGGTCAGACTTGCACTTTAGCATCACTTGATGAGCCAGAGCCTCCCAAAGACAAGAGAAACACTAACTGCCTCTGCTTTCTTGTCCTACAGAGAGGGTAAAGGGATAGTTCCTGCCTCCTCCCCTTGCTCAAAGTAACCAAACCTTGGGTAAATCTCTATACCTCCCCAAATCTGGGACACCTGGAAATGTCAATGTTACCCAAAAGGAGTTATGCTGATTTTTATCTGTACTAGCAGCTCCAACTCAACATACTCAGAGAATGGTTCCAAAAACTACACTTCTGCCCCACAAGCTTTTGCAAAAATCTGAGGCTAAAGGTCTTGACTGAGGTCCTTCTGCTGGCCGGTGAACAAAGGGCAAAGGCAAGCTGAAAGGGCAGCTCCCCACCCCCAAAGGAAGCAGAAATCTCTCTCCATTGCTGCTATTAGCAGCACAGGGCAACCTGTCAGCCACATGTGACATTCTGGCAATGCCAATGGAACAAATCTAGTCACCTGCAAGTGAAGGTTACTGAGCAATATAGATACATACATGTACACAGGAGATATATTCAAAACACAGACAAGACCACACAAAACAAAGAATCAAAGACTGGCTCATATGAAGAGAGAAATCAAGAACTGGAGCAGTTGTCTACTTTGGCATTTATATACTACCTTATATTGTGGTAATTTTTTCATACACAAATATCTTATCTCCCAAACCAGAATGTAACCTCCATGAAAGCAGGAATTTAAGAACCTAGGCATATGGCAGGTACTCAATAAATATTTGTTGTTGATCTTCCACTAAGCTTCCCACTCTGACGCCTCACTACATATGGAGGTAATTTTCAGTTTTGCATCAGATACTAGAGTACAATGACAAGTCCTATACCAAGCCAGAATGGCTTAGACTACAGGCTCAGTGATTAGCCCAGCTAAATTCAGAGAAAATCATCACCAAAACGATGGTTACCAAGTGATGATTTTTTTTTTGACACAGAAACTTATAAATCCATCCAAGCTGTAGAAAAGCTAAAATCTTTATTGGTGGGGAGAATATTTATATGGATGGAATCACAGATTATTTGAATTACTGTAAAAGATTATGATGGTGATGTACACAATGACATAGATGGTCAGAGAGCTGCACTAAGATAAAGAATGACAAAGACAGAATACACACAAACATACATATGGCTACATGACCTTATCATCTTTACGGCGATTTTTCCACTTGTATTATCTGCTCCTCACAAATTTCTGCTCCTTCCTACCTCCCAGAGGTGGTATGGAATGAACTGAAATAGTAGGGTACTTATGAATGTGCCTGGGAACAAAGTTGCCATGTAAACTTAAGGGAGTAATAAAGGGGCACAGATGATTTGACACAAATAGACATTTGCACACAAGGACTGGAAAGCTGGATTTGAACAAACACAAATGCACACAATCTATACAAATGTATAGATCTGGTCACAGATACATTTAGAGGCAAACCTAGACAAAGATAATTACAGCTAGGTTTGTATAGCACTTTAGTTTGCAGAGCCCTTTACATATATTATCTTATTTGATACAAAAAGTCACTCATGAGATACAAAGTGTCACTTAGGAGAACATATCTAGAACTTCAAGCACAAAACGTCAAATAGTTACTGAGTGCCTACTACGTGCAAAACCCTGTAATTAATTTATAAGAACTTCCCAGAGTGAGGATAAGGCAAATAGAAGGTTATCCAATAGCCATGGTTCTTCCCAGGATGTCTTCCAAGGGCATTTCTCCCATGCTGGCCAAATCCTTCTTAGCTATTTCCTTAAACTGGAAAGTTGGGCTCTTTCAGAGTACACACAATTTTACTCAGTGATCTGACTGAGGACAATTTAGCTCTTAGTACATGAGCTCTTTACTGTTTCCATCACAGTCCTTAGGGATTTTGTAGATCGTTGGGTCCAACTGCGCCTAGAAAGATGAAGTAACTTGCCCAAGGTCAGTTCATTGATGGCAGAGTTGTTATTTGAACCCAGTTCTCCTGGCTCCCAGTCCAGTCGAGAGCACTTCCCAAATCTACAATGTTGATCGTTCCTGTATCATTTTTTGGAGGTCCCAATTTTCCTCTTAGCAAAGAAAACCATTTTTTTTTTAGAGGGAGGGGTAGTGAGGGATAACAGCTAACGTGAAATGAGTGGGGCGATCCCTGGAAGAAGGACCACCGCAACGGCAACGCTCCCCAACGATGGGCTGGCACAAGCGCCCCGCGCCCTAGGCTCCCTAGCACCTAGGGCTGCCCCAGCCTGGAACGGGCCCAGGGCCTAGGAAAGGGAGGAGACTCGCCTTCAGGAGAGCAGATCCAGGCTACCACCCAGCTTCCTAAAGCTAGTTGGGACCCAAGGAGACCTCAGCGTAAGGGCAGCCGGGCTCTGTGAGGGACAGGGGTCACCGATAAGGTCCAGCCCAGGCAGGAGACCTGATGTCCCTGGCCCCCTCCCTTTCCTTCCTCAGCCCGGCAGTGGGGTCCCGGCTGGCCCCGGACCGGAGGCTCTCGCCGCCGACCCCATCAGCTCGGAACCCCCTCCCGCTCACCGTCTCCATCCCGCTCCACGCCAGTTCCTTTCGTGCCCTCCGGGCCACTTCTTTCCGGATCCGCCCCTTTCGTCACTTCCAGCACCAACACCTAACTTCCGCCGCGTCACGCAAGGACGCGCGGCCTCCGCCCTTCCGGTAGCGACCAGTCGCCTGCGAGCGGCAGAAGGGGCGTTGCCTTTCCCCCTCCCCTCCCGGCTGCGTCCGGGCCCCCAGGCCGCTGGTGGCGGCGCTACCGAGCGACTCCAGGCCACTTGTATTTAAAATGCTTTTTTTTTTATTTGTCCTTTAAAAACAAACTTGGAAGAAGCAAAATCCAAAACTTGCCCTTTGCCTCTCACAACATAAATTATGTACAGTTCATAATGATCGCCGATACAAAACATGCCACGGACAGGGGCTCTGGGGGCAGGAGGGGCGAGGCCTAAAAAAGGGGGGGGAGTCATTTCATCTGTTGTTACGAAGGACAAACCTTGCTGTACAGCATACACAACACAAAATAAAGTCTTCACGGGATTCACACTTGTCAGCGATTTTTTTTTTCCAAGGGAGGCTGAGGGAGGGAAAGGGGGTAAGGAGAATCCTGGAGATGAAGGGGGAGACTTTAAATGGGGAAACTGAAAATCGAATATGTGCAAGTGTAAACCAACCCAAAATACAAACACGGGATGGGGGGGGGCGCTTCTGATGCAATTATACAAGCGGGGAACTTAAAAACAAAACAAAACAAAAAACCAAAATTCCAACCTTGCAGCTTGGGTCTGAGTTATAGTTTATATAAAAATTAAAAACTGTATAAGGTTTCTTCACTAAGATCTACAGGACTATCAGATACCTAGCATATGCTTACAAAGTCTGCCCCCCAGACCCCTTTCCCTCCCCAATCCCAAACCCTAACCTGGGCTCCAGCCCAGTCTGGAGCCAGACCTTCTGGGGCCAGTCACCAATGGGTATGGCCCAAGCGCTCTCCACTCCCAGCAGCCCAGGCCTTTTGCTCATGGAAAGGAAGGAAGAGATCCAGTGGTTGGGGGTTGTGAGGGCAGGGTCAGGATGATGGTGGTAGAGAAGCCCAGTTTTTTTGCTGCCTGGTTTATTTACAGCAGCTCCTCTTTGCTCCTTGTGGGGTGAGGGGTGGTGGGTGGGGAGGAGTTTTTTTTAAACCTTTGCATCTTTAAACAGTTGAGGAAGCAGCCTTTTCTTTTTCCCTTAAAAAAAAATCTTCAGCCTCCTCCCCACCCCTGCCACCCCATTCTATCTCAAATTAAAACACAAAACAAAAACTTAAAAAAACCAAACAAACCTAAAAACACAACAGCGACTAGGCTCCCTGCTCCAGCCCTCTCCACTGGCATCACCTTCATCCTCATGCTCCAAATTTTTGATTCTTTAAAATAATTACAAAATGCCCTTTTGCCCACAGCCCCTAGAAGAGAGAACTGAATAAAAACTTCATCTTCAAACCTATGGCTCCCTACCAGAGAGGGGCCTAGGGGTTACTCCACCCCCCCCACCCCCACCCCCCTACTCCAGGAAGAAGTTCAATCAACTGCAGCACAAGTTAGGGAGGGAGATAGGAGAAAAAGGAGGGAGGGGACCGTCACCCTCTGGCTCCCCTAGGGGCCAGCTCACTTTTGTGCGTTATAAAAGTCCAACTGTACATCTGGGAGTGGGGAAACTGAGCCCAGCCCCTGTCCCCTCCCCTCACCTTTACAGCAGTCACAGCCAGGGGAGTGGGGGGGGGGGTGAGGAGCAGGGCAGCAGGTCTGGGATAATGGAGGGCAGCCCCCCCCACAAGGGGAGCTCCAGGTGTCCCTCCCCTCGCCCCCTGCCATTTATAAACTGGTTTTGTAAAAAGAAAATAGATATATTTATATAGAATATATAAAGCACAAAAATTAGTAGTTTTACATTTGCTCTCCCCAGGGGGTGGGGGGGAGAGGGGAGGGTTCTCACCTCCTGCTGGCCCCCCCATGCCCCACATGACTATATACAATCCGGCTTATAAATAGATAAATACCCCCCCACCCTCCCCACGATGACACTAAGCTCCCCTACCCCCAACACCTCCCTTTCCCACCAGACCAGCAGCAGTTTGGTGGCTGGGGAAGTAGGGAGCTCTGGGCCCCAACCTGCCCCACGGGGAATGGGTACATAACTCAAGAGAACCTCTTTCCCCTCAGATTCCAGGGAGAGGCTGAGGGAGGCACTGGGCTCATGATGGGGTTGGGAGTACAAGAGGAGGACACCCTGGTTCTGAAACACAACCCCAACACCTCCCCCTCCCAACTTGTTCAGAGGGGGAGAGATGCACAACCTCTGAGGGGATCAAGGGGTCACCCTCTCTCAAATGCTTCCCATCAGCCCTAGTCACTACCCCATGCCCACAGTTAAAAACAGATTTTTTTTTTCTAAAGATTTTCCTTTTTTCCCTCCCCTCCCTTCTACCCCCAATTCAGACAGGGGGTTGAGGGATTAGAGGGCTGGGGAGAGGGTCTCACATTTCAAAACAGCAAAAAATCCAACACTTAAATGAGGTAGGTGTGGGTGCAGGATCTCCTTGCCCGGCTTGCCTGCCTTGCCCGCCCCACCCGGGCAGCTGGGTGCCTCTTTCCCGTTCGTGTTGCATTTGTCAGAGAGAAAACAAGGAAACACAACCCAGAAAGAGAGAGATGGAAAGAGGGACAGAGAGACACAGAGGAGAAGAGGGAGACAGAGAGAAAGGGAAGGAGGGGATTAGGAAGTGGGGACAGGACCCAGCGGGCAGGGCCAGGTGTGGGGACCCAGCCTTTGGGATTGTCAAGCTTAATCAAGTCTCTTTGCAGCCTTGAGTTGGGCTGGGGACGTCAGTGGGAGCACTGGGGCTGGGAGACCCAAGCTGCCACCCTCCTCACCGTCTCTGCTGCCTCCCAGACGGTGCTGGGTAGTTCCCAGCCCATTTCTACCCAACCCCCCCCCCCCCCCGAACCTGAGATGCCCAATGGCTGTTTCTGTCTGTCGGCTCCTGGAGCTGGGGGCAGATATGCCAGCCTGGGGCCTGTGGTGGGGGAGGGAAGTCATCCCTGGTGCCCAGAATGGGCACTGCCCCGGGGCCCTTAGCCCCATCCTGCTCCTGGGGCTCTGGTCAGCCAGCAGCCCCAACTCTGGGTCCTGGCTCTCTTCCCCTTCAACCCTTTCGGGAAGGGCTTTGGAGGGTTTCCCCTGCCCAGTTGCCTCTGAGCTTAATTCATCCACTTCCGGCAGTTCCAGGCTCCACAGTGGCAGGGGATTTTGTGCTGATCATCCTCAAAGTCAAACTGATAGTCATAGGTCAGCTGGGGAGGGAAGGGAGAAAGAATCAAGTCCAGCCAGGCTTTACGAAAAAACAACAACAACAACAATAACAACAGTTCAAAGGAAATCACACTGCCAATCACATCACTCACCTCTTCTCCTTTGGGGATGCGCCGGCTGGAGATGATAATGATCTTATCCTCCTTATCGAAGGTCACGACCTCTGCCACACAGTTGGGGGCACAAGAATGGTTAATGTACCTGAACCAGAAAAGACCAGGGAGAAATCAGTGTCAGGGAAGTCTGGCAGTAAGGGCCAGTTTGACCCTGACGCACCCCTCCCTCCCTCCCTCTCCAGCTCACCTGGCGGGCCCTCCAGTAAGTGTGGCATCAATCACATGCTCATTGTTTATACGAAACATATAGATACCTCGATTCTGTAAAGAGGAAGGGAACAGGAGAGACAGATTCAAACAGAGCTCCCCAGGTCTGCCCAAATGTCTCTCATTTTCCCTTGAAGACTCAAGTTTGCCATCAGCCTGAATCCCCAGAACACCCTACACACAGCTCCTCTCCCTTGTCCTAACCTGCTCCTCATAGATCTTCTCTCGACGGTTGGCCACCTCATTTCGGATGATGGTGCCAATGTACTCAATGACCATGGTGTGCTTCTCCAAGTCCTTGGCAGCATACAGCCCCAGGCCCTGAATACGAGATCGAGCCAGGTACACGTTGTTCTTCCACTCTGTTCGAAGCCGTCGATACTGGGATGACTTGGAATGCACAAACTGTTTGCTGTATGGGGTGTTGGTCTCGCCTGTGAAGGTGCTCTGGTATGCCTTGGACATGCTGGTGCTGTTGAGGGTGTGAGGCCTGGGGGCAGCAGAAAAAATGGCAAGTCAGATCTCTTCTAGAATGAGTGGGCACACAATGATCTGTACTCAACCCCGGCCCTGGGATGGGGCAAATGTTAGCCAGGCCTCAGGAAGTGTGCTATGGGCATATGGGAAATACAGTCTTGGCCAATGGAGACAGCCCTAATTTCCTGTAAGAGTCTCCATCTTGGTGGGGTAGCAGTTAAGATCCATATGTCCCTCTATTCCCATGGGTACAGAAAACCTAAGATGGGTCTAGGAGTCAAATAAGCTAAACTCCTCCCATTCTGAGTGTGGATACGTTCACTCTCTCATGACTAACCCAACATATGTGCTCTTCCCTCAACCACCCTTGGGGACAGTCCTGTCCCTTGGATCTCTAGCATGCTGTCCCCTTACCACATTAGAATAATTCTTGAGAACTAAACTTGTTTACACTTTTGCCTGCCTTTCCTTCCACCCCACAAACATGAACACCACAAATTCTCCCCAAGATAGGGACAATATCTATCTCCTCTTGTCTCTGCACCAACTACTCAATGTAGGAAAATGATTAAGTAACCTGTTTGACTCTCCCACTGCCCCCATCCCCGCTGCCCTACCCCTCCCCGCCCCATCCCCCCCTCCCTGCTTTCTACTCCCACTCCGTCTTCTCCCTCAGCAACCACCTAGGCTGCATTCCTGCCCTTCATCTCTGCAGCCCCACAGTTCAAGTCCAGGCCTCCTTGCTTGGGGCTTGGTCACATACAGTGACAGAACTCCTTTAAAATTGTTTCTGTCTTCCTGTACCCCAGCTGGTGGGCTAGGATCCACTAATGGCATAGTGAGAAAAAGCACTGAACAAGTCAAGACACCAGGGTTTTAGCTCTGGGTCCATCTTTGACTTGCTGTGCATGTCAATTAACTTCTCTGGAGCTCAGTTTCTTCATCTGAAAAAAGGGGGTAATACCACCTGCCCTACATACCTCATAAGGTTGTTGTGAGGATCAAATGAGATAATGGATGTGAAAGCGCTTTGGAAAAAAAAGTATAAAATGCTATACAAATGTGAGGTTTTAATATGCTTCCAATTACTATTCCTGGGGCCACCTCAGCCTAGGGGAGGTGGACACTAGCATTCCAGGGTGCTTCCGAAGGCACCCTTTTAGGCTCAAGGTGGAGGGAGTCAGAGCCCCTTAGAGAGGGGAAAGGGAAAAAACTGTTGGCTCCCTCATCCATCACACCATTAAATACCTGCCTACTGCATACCTCCCCAGCAACACTTTCCCACCCGCTACCCCCACCCCAAACTCTCAGCCGGTTAGGCAGGAAAGACAAGGCCCCCTTAGGGGGCCCCTGGCTTCAGCCTCCTCTATTCAATATGCCTGAGCGATTCCCCAGCCTTTCCAAGGGAAAAGATGTCTCGATTTTCACACCATTTCCTCCCCACTGTTATCCCAAAGTCTCCAATCCTCCACCCTGTTTCCTACCCATTTCCTTGGCTTCAGACTCCTCCCAAACCTGGCTCTACCTCAGACTCCCTCAACAAAGAGGCTCACCGTTTGTAGTGGGTGAGAATTTTGGGCTCAGAGCGGGCACAGCCAGTAGGGTTGATCATAAGAGGCAGTTCCATCAGTGGGTGCCGTCCATATCGAAACAAATAGTTGTGACAGCTTTCCACCCCAGGCAGCTGTGGACACAGTGAGCAATCTACCATAGCCCAGGCCCCTGGGAGCAGCACTACCCCACCCAGCCCACCCCAGAATCCTCCCCTCATCTCTCCTTACCGACTCTGCAATTCGTAGGACGGCGTGCACTGTCAACCCAAAGAGCTCCTCGCCCTTAAGATACTCTGGAAACAATCGAAGCATGTCGGCTTCCTTTCGCATGGCAGCCACGGGTTCGATGATACGGTTCCACACAGCTGAGAGGAAAACAGGGTTACTATCAAAAGGCCCATTTCCCCCCAAATCTGGACGTCCCCCAGATACAAGAGCTATTGTTTTATCTGTGGCTCCCATGACCTATGGCAGGGGTGGGGAACCGGCGACCTTTACAGAACAAATCCTTTTGTTAAGGATTTATTATTATTTATTTTATATTTATATTTATTGTTATTTATTAAGGGGATTTGTTCTGTGAAGTTTGGCTTCAGTCAAAGGGCTGTACTTGGGGACCTAAAGGGCCACATTTGGCCTCGAGGTGGCAGGTTCCCCCACCAGTGGCCTACGCTTTGACTTCTTCCCTCTAAAACAGGAATGGCCAGGGGCAGCTAGGTGGTACAGTGAATAGAGCTCTGGCCCTGGAGTCACACCCAGCCTCAGACACTTAACACTTACTAGCTGTGTGACCCTGGGCAAGTCACTTGACCCCAATCGCCTCACCAAAAAAGAAAAAAATAATAGTAAATAAAACAGGAATGGCCCCCTGTGGGCCAGATCCTCTGCTCTAAAGACAGTGAGGAATATAAAGTAGGAATATGAAAAAATTTATCTCTACCCCCACCCCTAAATATAGTCAACATTGGCCAGGGTTTCATTTAATGCTGCTTCTAAGCAAGGGAAAATACTGATGGGTTAAGATCAGGCTAAGGGAAGTTTGGACTCAATCCGTGGGGACATGGAAAGAGTTCTTTCCACCTCAAATGAGGAGAGAAAAAAAAAAAAAAGAACAGCAGGAAAGATTAAAACCGAACAACAAAAAACCTGCCCAGTCTAATGGATGCTAGGCCACAGAAGACAAAGACTAAAAACCAAAGGCCTTGGTGTATTAGAGCTGGGAAGGAGTTCTTCCAAACAAAGGGGAGGATGGATAAGATAACCCACCCACACAGTAGCTGGTCCCTGACTCCTGAGAGCCTCACCTTGGGGGGATGCGTCAGTGAAGACCAGGTCCTCCAAACCCTGTTCCATGACCTTGACGATGAACTCGGGCCGCCCGTTGTTCTCGATGATGGAGCAGCGATAACAGCAGCGCCGGTTGTTGGTGCGTAAGCTCCAGTAGATGCGCGTGGCCTCATAGCCAACTGGGTACAGGGCTGTGGCGCTATGGAAGTCGGCCATCTGGTGGGGCAGCAGCTGCCCAATGGCATGGAACACTAGCCCTCCCACCCGGAACATGTGCAGCCGCTCACCACGCTGGATGATGCTAGCAATCTGCTTCACCTCATCCCGCTCAATGTAGACGCGTCGAAAGACAGCAAAAGAACTCAGCTCCTGCTCACAGGGCCCCTTCAGCTTGTGCAGGGGGCACAGCATCGTTTTATCCTTGAAGAACATGCACTTGGCCCGGATGGCACAGGCAAAGTGGTAGACACTAGGACATCGCAACCGGTTACAGCTGTTAGTGGCTCCCGTACGCTGGCACAGCGAACACTTGGTCAGTAGCCCTCGGTGGAGGGCACCCTCGACATTCATCAACGCCCCACCCTGAGTTTCATAAACTTCTGTGGACCACAGGGCACAGTTCAGGTGGACCCAGAGGTCTAGATCTAGGTTGAGGAGTCGGGCTGGCCCGTCAGTAGCTCCATCACCCTCTTCATGGCAGAAGCAGCAGCGCCGAAGGTCACGGGGCACCTTGTCAGGTCGGAGGGCTGTGCCCAACTGCTCCATGAACTCTGCTACCTCCCGCTCACCCTCCCGTCGTCCACCACCCTTCTGGATTGTCAGCAGCAGCCGTAACCGTTTCCAGCGAAGCCCTTTCCACTTCTTAAGCCGGGGTGGCCGGGAATCCTCCCCCTCTTCAGGGGGCCGGGCTCTGGGCTTGGGGCGAGCTGCTTCAGGCATCGGAGGTGAGGGAACTAGTGGTGGGGGTGATGGGGCTGAGGGTTCAGCTGGGGGGCTGGCAGGGGAAGGAGCCGAGGGTGAAGGGGGCGGGGAAGGCTCCTCAGGGGGTGGAGCAGAGAGCTGACGGACATCCAGGTTGGAGACGTTGTGGATATAGCAGTGCTGGGCAGGCGGCTCTGGGACAGGGCTTTCCTACAGAGACAATCCCATACCATCAGAACAAGGAAGCCCACTCAAGCCTCCCGACTGTGCCCAGGACACTAACCTGGTATCCATCATTGTTCCTTCCCAAACCCCTGAACCTGCCCCTCTGAGGCCCTCTGCCCTGTTAGCACTGCCCCTACCCACCCCCACCCCCACCCCCACCCCCCCAGCTCTGACCCCTCCCATCCCAGGGCCCCACCTGCTTGAGGAGGCTCAGGATGTCCAGCTGGCTCTTGAGGGTATAGCCGGGCAGCACTGCATCAAACTGTTTCAGCCAGTCACTGCCACCCTCGGTGGGCTTTCCCCCTAGGCTTTTCTCTTTACCACCTGTAGGAAGAAGTGAGGAAGAACCCACTACCCTTTGAATCTAGAGTGGCATGGCACCCCTTCTCCCCTCACCTCCTGCCCGATCTCTGCCACACTCACCAGGCCCCTCCACTTCCCCCTTCTTGGCCTCGGCACCCCCTGCACGGGCAGGACTCTCTGGGAACAGCACCTCATAGGAGCTGGGGATCTTCATGCTCAACAGCTCTGCCACAGCCACCATGACACCATTCAGATTCTGACATAGAGGGGGAGGGAGGATGGAGAGAAGAGGGAGAGATGTGTCATCGGAGCACCCTGAGTGTGGTACTGCCAAGGCTCCTCCCATCTGCCCCCTGCTTCCCAACCCCCCCCCACCACTTTGGTATACCTTGGCAGCAGCAGCAGAAACAGTCAGCATGACGGACACCTCACTCCCCTTGCCCTTTTCCCAGGTGTTGGCAGACAGCTTTCCTGTTGGTTCTAGTTCCAGAGCCCCAAATGGCTTGGTATCTGGGAAGACTAAATAGGACAGGGAAGACCTTGAAGGCCAGCTGATTTCAAACCCTCCCCCCTCAACAAGAACAAAAACCTAACAATAAAAACAAAGCAGCAGCTAATATTTACCTAGCGGTTTAAAAACTATTCTTTCATTTGATCCCCACAATAACTCTTAAGTATTATTATTCCAATTTTGCAGACAAAAACTAGGGCTGAGGGAGGTCAAATAGAGAAGGTAAGATTCGAACCTAGCTCTTTCCTGACACCAAAAGCTAGCCCTTTTTCTGCTCTGCCACAATGTCTGCTTTTCCTCAGGCACATACACACACCTGGGATGCTGGCCCGGGGGATGATGGGGATGACTGGGGACAGGGCCCTGTCCTCCTGCTCCTGCTGGCCTGACATCAGCTGGGGAAATCGAGGTGCCTCCTCTCCCAGGATACTCTCAGGGGAAGAAGCTGGCACGATGCTGTCAGGGGAGTCGCTCTCCTCATCACTCTCCATCCTAGAGATCAGGGACACAAGGCATGTTTGCACCACAATGGGTCACCCTTCCTCAGTCTCTTTAAGCCTGGGGATGTCACAGCCCCACAGGAAATCCCCATGGCAGGGGAGCCAAGCACCCCACCCCACCCCACTCCTCATTTCCAACCTGACATCCTCAGTCTGGTTGTGAGGAGGAGTGGGGAGCGCTGCCAGCAGGTCCAAGCTCTTCACTTCAGGAGCATCTAGGAGCAGAGGGAGAGAAGGGATATGGAATACAGGGGTCTCTCCTCTCTAGCATCTCAGGCTTCTCATTTCTTAGGTTCTGTTGCTCTGACAGTTTCTCCATACCACAGGGTCTGCCTGAGCACATGAAGCTTAACTCTGTCCCCACCTCCACATGCTTCCAAAGTCTGGGTTTTCAGAGGTGGTAAGGGAACAGAAAAAACTCATTATGCTTTTGTTACAAAGAATGACTCTCTGTATAACGGATGGGAAAGAGATGATGGAGATCTATTTTTTTCTTCAAGGGAAGATCTACTACAGTCTTGGGTGCTGGTGACCTTTATGCAGTCAGACCACCAAACTGGTCCTTTTCAAAACTAAAACCAGAGGGAGGGAGGGAGCAGGAAGGAGGCAGTTAGGGGCCTCTCCCTCTGCCTCATCTCACCATCCCCTGCTTACCCCGTGGTCCCCCATCAGGCTCTCGGGCAGGGGCCGCATCTTTAGGTTGCTCCCCCAGGTCCTCAGAAGGAGTGACCCCATTCACCAGTTTCTGCTGTACTGATGGGGGTGGGGTAGGCGGCAGCGAGGAAGGCGGCGTTGGCGGGTTACTCAGGTTATTCTAGGGGGGCAAAAAGGAATAGCAAGTCTGACGGTGAACAAGTCATCTTGATGCCCCTACCTTATGCCAGGCTAAGAATTCCCTTGAGCCCTCCCATCTCAGCATGGTGCCGCCTCTTCCAGACCTTCGTAAGAAGCTGGGAATAGTAGTCAGGGCCAGTGGGTAGTGCCCCACTCCCAAAGGCCCCCCTCAGCTGGCTCCGCCCATTGATGAGGCAGCCACTGCCGAAGGGAGCAAAAAGGCTGAAATTGTTGGTGATGCTGGGTTCTGTAAGTGGCAGCAAGGACAGCTCCTGGGTGGGGAGACAGAATAAAAACCATGAGAACATGAGTACTTAAGCCCCTATGGCTAGAAAAGGAACTCCCAAGGGACACCCCCCAACCTCCTCCCACTTGCCCTGGGGGACTGTGCAGCTGGGATTCTTGGGGGTCACCTGCTTCAGCTGTTTCAGCAGGGCCTCATTGGCTTTCACCCCATCTTCCTTCCGGAGCTTCTTCCGGGAACTTGCCACCCTGTCGCCCGCCTTCTGTACCCTCTTGGGCTTGGGGGTCAATGGTTTCTTGGCTGCAGCATCCTGTGACAGACACATCCACTGTAAGGGGTGCCTACCCACCCCCCCCCAACCCCCTGGGACATCTCATGTCATAGATATATAGTAAAAAGGTTTAAAGGTATGTATGGAGGCAGAGTAGGCAGAGATTAGACATGCCACTTAGTAGACACATGGCAGCCTCCAGGCCCAGCAGAAGAGGCCACTCTCTAGCCAAGGTACTCACCTCCTTGCCGACTGGCGTGCCCTGAAGCTTCTGCTCCAACCCAGCCAGCTTGCTGTCAATGTGCCCATTGATCTCTGCTCGGAGCCCCTCAGGTCCATGCCCTGCGCCAAGCTGTACATTCTTTGACCGAAGCAGCTTCTGCAAGAGCAGGTGCCCAGCCTCTGAGCGGCTGCCTGCCAGTAAGAGGTGGTTGCTGGTGCCTGGTGTGCTCACAGGTTCCCCATTAGCCTCCCGTTTCACCACCTGGGCACCCAGGGCACAAGGCTCCTCTCGAGGCTCCTGCTTGATCATGAGACGGGGTGGCTCGGGCATCTCCCGCCCATTCACCTGCTCCACCTCTCCAGGCCTCATGTTGTTCTGCTCAGGCTTATGGGCCTCAACCAGGTTGTCTGGGGTTTCCCAAGGTCCTGGTCCCTTGGCAAAGAAAGCATCTGGAAGTTGGGAGGCTGCCGACGAGGGGGGTGGAATGTCCCCTGAAGGTAGCTCCAAGGAGGATTCTTGGAGCTTTGGGATCTCAGTCTGGGTAGGGGTGAGCTGAGCCTCAGCAGGAAGCTGAGGGCTAGGGGGCAGCAATCGTGGGGAAGGTCTCTTTGGCTCTGGGGGGCTGGATGGCAGAGGAGGGGGTTGTGCAAGGCCAAGGTTTGGCCCTGATGCTATGGCTCCTTGTGGGGTAGAGAGCCGGGAAGGGCCCTGGGGTCGGGGCACCGCCCCTAGCTCCTGTAGAGGCCCTGATGGAGCTCCGAGGAAGCCCCCAGGTTGGGGCTGGCGGCCCAGGAGGCCTTGCAAGGAAGAAGGATGGCTCCCAGGCTCCAGGTAGGGCACTGTTTGCCTTAGCACCTGGCCTTGCTGCAATTGCCTCTGCACGAGAAGGGCCTGCAGCTGCTGTTGCTGCTGAGGGCTTAGGTGCCGAAGCTGTGGGTTCTTGGCCAAGACACCCTGAAGCTGGGCCCGCAGCTGCCCCACTGTGGGCATTCCCGCATGCCCTGGTAGGCCCTGCCCAGGGTGGGGTAGAGGGCCTGGCTTGGGAGGCTGTGGCCTTGGGCTCCCTTTTAGGGGTCGATCCAGCCCAGAGGCCCGCTCCCCTACAGAACCTAGGGGCTGGGTCAGCAGGTGGGACATGGAAGTAACTTCAGGGGGTTGCCCACCAGCCATCTGCCCATGACTTGCACCACCCGCTGGATGGAGTAAGTTGATTTGCTGTTGCTGCTGCTGCTGCTGCTGCCCTGGAAGTCTCAGAGGTGCCTGTAACTGCAGGGAGTTCATCTGAGGGGGCTGGGGCTGGGGCTGGGGCTGAGGCTGAGGCTGGGGCTGGGGCTGGGGCTGGGGCTGGGGCTGGGGCTGGGGCTGGAGCTGAGGATGAGGCTGGGGTTGGGACAGGAGGAGGTGAGAGTCCCCAGGGAGGGGGGGCTTCACCTCCACTGGCTCTGGGGGCAGGGCTTCTGTAGGAGGACCCAATGCCAACGGTCCTCCTAGGTGCACTGAGGAGGCTTCAGTGCCTTCAGGTACTAGCACTGTCTCTGCCCCAGCTTGCTCTTTGCCTGGTAGGCCCGAGGGCAACCCCTGGCTAAGCAAGAGGGCTGGGCCCAAGGCTCCATGGCTGGGAAAGTGCTGGAGGGGTTTGGCAGGCAAGCCGGGACCCAGGGCCACCTGCTGCTGCTGCTGCTGCTGCTGCTGCTGCTGCTGCTGCTGGGTAAGAGAGTTGGCTGGGGGTGGCAGCAATTGCTGCTGCTGCTGCTGCTGCTGGGGAGGCAATAAAGGTCGACCCTGGTTAAGGAGCCCCAGCGTCGGTTGCGGTTGCTGCTGCTGCTGCTGCTGCTGCTGCTGCTGCTGCGTCCCCATGGATTGGGTGCCCAGCTTGGGTTGCCCACTAGGAGGCATCAATCCCTGTTGGAGATGGGAGAGCCCAGTCATGGGCGGCTGCTGCTGCTGCTGCTGCTGCTGCTGCTGCTGCTGCTGCTGGGCCATGACAAGTCGGTGGGCCATGAGGCCTTGTGCTTGCTGGGCCAGTTGAGGGGACCCTAGCATTCGGGGCTGAGCAAGGAGCACTTGTCTGTGAGGGCCTTGGGGACCCAGACCTCCAGGGTGCACCTGCTGCTGCTGTTGTTGCTGCAACACTGCCACCTGGGCAGGGCCCAGCATGCCCTGGGGCCCTGGGGGCGGCTGGGGGGACAGCTGCTGGACCAAGAGGCCCTGATGGCTGCCAGGAGGCAGGAGTCCCTGGGGCTTGGGCCCCAGGCCCTGCTGCTGCTGCTGCTGCTGCTGCTGCTGCTGCAGAGCCACCTGTCCCAACAGGTGCTGCTGCTGTTGCTGCTGCAGCTTCTGAGTCAGCTGCATTCGCTGCTGTTGCAGCTGGAGTTGCCGTTCCTGTAAGAGCCGTGCGTCGGCACTCAGGCCTCGGAGAGCAAGATTCCCGGGGAAGAAGCCTGCCGAGGGGCCTGCTAGGGTCCCTGCCCCGGCTGGATGCTGCTGCTGCTGCTGCTGCTGCTGTTGGCCCAGGGCTGTACTGAGGAAAGGGCCGCTGGGCTGGCCGGTCAGTGCAACTCCTCCAGGAGGCAGGCGAAGGCTGCCCGCCTGCCCGCCCGGGGGTCCCTGTGGAGGCTGCAGCCCGTGGCCTGGGAGCAGCTGCCCAGGAAGCTTGGCCAGCAGCCTGGGGCTCTGGGAGGGGCTCAAGGCCAGCACCGCGGAATGCTGCTGCTGCTGCTGCTGCTGCTGCTGCTGCTGCTGCTGCTGTTGCTGCTGCTGCTGCTTGTTCCGATACTCTGCCATCAGGTTTGTGTGCTCTTTCTGCTGTTTCCGAACCTAGGTGTCATCACAGGGAGTAAGGGAAGATGTCAAGAGTAGGTGGAGGCCTCAGCCTCAGCCCACACGCCCCCTTCTTAACCTTTCTCTGCCAAGGGCCTCTACCTGGTCCAGCTGCTTCTGGATCTTGCTCTGCTGCTCAGTGACCAACTTCAGCTTCTCCGCATCAGCCTCTGGGAACTCTCGGCCAGCCTTCTTAGCGGTGCGCTGCTTGGCGCACAGGGCCTTGCGGGACTTTCGGTGCACCCCAATCTGCTCTTCCAGCACCTTGAGCTGCATCTGTAGCAGTTGCTGGGTGTGAAACAGCCACTCTTCGTACTGCCGCTGGTCGGCTTCGTCTGGGCCAGCAGGGAGAACAGGAGTCAAGGGGCCTGGTCGCCACAGGTCCCAGTGGGGCATCGTCCTGCCCCTTCACCCTCCCCCCAATCTCCTTCAGGTCACACCATACTCACTGATCACACCGTGGGCAAAAGTGGGTGGGTTGGGCCGAGACTGGGAGGGGTCACTGCTGCTCCGCTCCTGTCAGTGGAAAGGATGCCAGGGGTCACTGCTCCCTCCTTCCCACTAGGTTCTTCTGATCAAACCCACCTTACTAGCTCTTACATGAGGACACTCTAATAGCAGGGATGGATACGGGTGCCAGGACACATTCCCTCTGCACATCCCTTCTGTGTACAAATGCCACCTAGTCACACAACTCCACCTGCTCACTCACCTGCCCACTCCCAGCTGCCACATGATTCTGTAGGTCAGTGCTGCCAGGAGCTCCCGAGAGCCGCTGGGCCAACAGGGACACCTGTTGCCTAGAACCAGTCAGAGAAAAGATGGCAAAAGGTGAGAGAGAAGCCGGATGGGGAGGACAGAGAAAAGGGAGTCAGGAGAGGAAAGGCCAAGTTACATAGGCTTCTTCTAGTAGATACCTCACCTGTTCATGCCTGGTGCCACCCCAATGCTGCCCTGCGCCATCACCTTCTTGATGCCCTTCAGGGCCACCATCTTAGCCTTGGCAATGGGATCAATGATGTCCTCTGCAGCAAACTTGTCCAAGTCTTTGAAGAAAGTACCAGAGGATAAGGGAAGATGTTGAATTAGCTGTCCCTTCCATATCTCATGCCTGCCACCCAGTGCCTGTCTAGTCCCTCGCCTTTCCTGTCCTCAAGACAGCCTAGAAGCAATGACTTGTGCCACGTGCCATGATTCCACTCTGGACACCTTCTGGTAGACCCCACCCACACCCTAGGCCCAGTATTCTGTCTGCCTGCTCTGTAAGGCACAGAAGTCAGAGGCCAAAGGCACCGCTCCTAACACACTGCTTTTGATATGTCAACAGAAGCCTTCAGGGTCTGCCTGTTGCCTATAGAGAAAAAAATTCAGGGGGAAGCTAGGTGGTATAGTGGACAGAGCTCTGGCCTTGGAGTCAGGAGGACCTGAGTTCAAATCTAGTCTCAGACACTTGACACTTACTAGCTATGTGACCCTGGGCAAGTCACTTAACCCCATTGCCTCGCCAAAAAAAAAAAAAAAAAAAGATTTAAGATGGTATTCAGCACTCTCCATTAACTGGTCCCAAATTTACTCTTCTACTATCATTTTTCTGCTATTCCCCTGCCCAACTTTCCATTCTGGTCAAACTGATCTACTAATCACTCCCTGAATATCTGCCTGCCCAGCTCAAGCCCCAACACTAGTGAACTGCTTCCCTACTCAATGTTTCCTTCCTCCCTTCTGAACACTGAGCCACACATGGAGTATTTCATGCATGTTCCTTTGTACTGTGAGTAATCTCCTAAGGTATCCAACCTGGCTCCCCAACTGAAAGTTCTCAGAGACAGGGACAAGCACCCAGAATGTCATGATTCAGTCAGTTTAAAATGACAACAATGAGGATTACAGGTCTCGGCCCACCCCCACTCCCCATTTCCCCCACGTCCCTTCCTACAAGAAAATGTACCTGTATCAGGGAAGAAGCTGTTGGCTAGCTGTTGCTGCATCGCCAGCTGCTGCGGCTTCATGCACATCGATGGTGGCACTGCCCCCATAGGCTTCTGGGCCAGCACTGGCTGTGGATTCTGCTGAGGCACCAAGCTTGCCTGCCCTCCGCTGAGCATATGCCCCTGGTTGGGCACCATGGCCATGGGAGGGACCAGGCGCTGCTGCAGGGCATGGGATGGTTGCTGGGTGGACATCATCGCCTGGGTGGACACTAGGCCAGGCTGCCGAGCCCCAAGCCCTAGTGCAAGCTGTTGTGGGGTAACAGCCAGGCCAGGAGGTGGACCTTCTTGGGGCAGAGGCATGGACTGGGCAGTGCCTGAGGTGGCCAGCAAGAGGTGCTGCTGCTGTTGCTGCTGTGGGGGCGGCGGTGGTGGAGGTGGCGGCGGTGGCGGTGGTGGGGGCGGCGGTGGGGGTGGGGGTGGGGGTGGGGGTGGTGGGGGTGGGGGTGGCTGTTGTAGCTGGGCAGAGAGCTGTTGCTTCTTTTGGAGTTCTTTTTTCTCATGCTCCAGGAGGTCCTCAATGAGCAGAGGCAGTTCACTGGCCACCAAGGAACTCTCCATTTTGTCCAGCTCATCTCCAGACGGTGGAGGCCCACCAGGCAGGGTCAGGGCCCCACTCTCCAGGTCAAACTTCTCCAGCAAGGATGCTCCCCCTGGGCCACTCAGTGGGCTCGAGGTCAACAGCTGGGGTGGGGGACCTGCTGTGCTTCCAAAGGGACTCTTCTCAGCGGTATGCACATTGTTAGGGAAGGGACCCATGTTTAGCCTGCCGTCTCGTGGCCCCAGCAAGTTCTGCCCAGGCTTCAGCCCCAGCCCCAGAGTGCCAGGAGGCACCGGGTCTGCCTTGGGGGTGGCCACGGTGAACTGGCAAGGAGAGGCCTGGTGTCCACCCTCCTCTAATTTAGGCTTCACTTCAGTGGCCCCGGGGGCGAGATGGGAATCAGGTCCATCAGTGGTAGGGGGTGGGCGCTCCTCAGCACCAGACAGGCTGGGTTCTGTGCCCCTCAGGAGCGCCTCACGCTCAGCCTTCTCATTGGCGGATTCTACCAGTCGCAAGTGTTCATTAAATATGTCCTTCTTGTCACCAGTGTCCAGCTCAGGGTCTGTATAGGCCAAGAGGTCGAATTCATCCCCATTCAGCAAGTCGTCCAGATGGGGGTCATTGGTCTCCAAGTTTCCAAGGGTGCCGAGCTCATCATCACCCTTGGCCACATCTACCCCAAGCCCCAGGTGGGCCAGCTCCTCATCATCTTCCAGTGCCTTATGGGCATCAAAGTCGTCATCCAGCTCAGGCTCCTCACAGGGCAGTTTTCCAGACTCCAGGACCAGGGGTGGACGTCCTGCCTCTGTGCTAGAGGGAGATCGGCCAACCAGCTCCTGGCTAGCAGGAAGGCTAGGACCCTTGGGATGGGGGAGGGGGTGGAGGCTGTTACTCAGTTCAGGTGGTGGAGGAGCTGAGGGTTTCTGTGGGGGCAGGGTGGACACTGCCACAGGTCGAAGACTATCCGGAGCCAGGCGATGGGAGTCCTCAGCCACTGAGAAGAATCGTGGCCTCTGAGGGGGGCCCTGAAGATGGTAAGGGGCACCACCAGGCCCTGGCCCCTTCTGCACATTGTGACGAAGCTCGATGAACTGAGCAGGACCAGGACCAGGAAGTGACTCCCCTGGGCCAGGAGGGCGGTTGGAAAGCCCACTCAGAGGAGGGCCTAGGATTGTCCGGCCAAGTTCCGGCCCAGGTGGTTGAGGGAACCTTGCAGGCATGGAAAGCCGCATGGAAGCCACAGCGGCCTGCTGCTGCTGCTGCTGCCAGAGCTGCTGTTGCTGTTGAGGGGGCAGAGGTCCAGAGAAGGGCCCCCGTGGAAAGAAGGCTTGGGTGCCCCCAACCAGTTGCCTGAAATTGTACACAACAGAATCAGAAAGACAAGGTAAGGCAGGAAAGAGCCAGGAGTTAGAGCCAGAACAGAGGATTGGAGGAGGAAAGGAAGACAGGAAAAGAAAGCAGGGGAACAAGGCAAGATGGCCTGGGTATCCACAATAACCAGAAACTGACTCTATAGAGCACATTAAGGTTTACAAAGTGCTCTATACACGTCGACCTAATTTGATCATTTCCACAGCTCTGGAAGATAGGCAATACAAGCATCTTCATCCCTACTTTAAATTAGGAAGCTGTGGCTCAAGAATCACACAGCTAATATGTGCCTAAGGTAGGATTCAAACCCAGGGCTCTCCTGATTTCAAATCCAGTGCTCTTTCCAGCAGGTGGGATCAGAAGTCAGAACTCAAAACCTACCCCCTGCCTGTATTCACAGTCGCCCTTGGTGACTCACCGGCCATTCATGTCAATGGAAGAAGGAGTAGGGGGTGGTGGTGGCCGAATGAGTCTCTCCTCTGCAGGGAAGGGGCTAGGTCCCAGAACTGAGCCACTTAGTTTGTTAGGGGGCAATCCTGTAAGGCCACTTTTGTCCTGGGTGGCCGGAATGAAAACAGGTGTATAAGGAGAGTGAGAAGGCCAATGCCCTGCCATGCCACCCCTGCCTCCCAATTTTGAAGCATGGTCTCCTACCCCCCTGCCAATCCACCTACCTGTGCCCCAGGGTAGGAGGTGGGGCCTCGATTCAGCTGCTCAAAAGCAGGGTTGCTAGACTCAGCACCCCAACTGCCTGGCCCTACAGCACTGGTGGCTGCTGCTGTTTCCTTCTCCTGCCGAAGGGTATTACGCTGAATCTGCTGTCGGATCAATAGCTCTCTCAAACGCTGGCGCTGGGTAAGGATAAAGGAAGAGAGAGGGGGAAAAGTCAGTCACCTCTATCTGGCCAGGGCTGGAAAAAACCCACAAGACCAAAAAGGCGGAGACACAGACACAGAGGCAGCACAGACGCCTGCACTGGAGACTCTCACCTGCCGCTGCTTCTCCAACTCTGTTTGGCTCAGATTAGCCATGCTGGGGTCCTGGGGACCTGGCAGCTCAGGACCCACCAGGGAGGTGGCCATCCCAGACACTGAGTCTTCTCGCTTGTCAGCCGGGGAGGTGATGCTCCCCCGCTGTGGGGCACCATGGGGCAGGTAGGTGAGAGGACCATCCGGTGCAGGCTGTGGTAAAACCGATGGTGGACGCAACGGAGACAGCCCATAGCCCTCAGCTGGTGGCCCGGTGCCTGGCCCCAGGGGGCTGCCTCCTGGGTGAAAACTGCCTGCCGCTGCTGTGTAGTTTGTGCTTTGGGGCTTGCCCACAGTGGGTCCTGGCCCATAATGGCTGTTGATCCCATGGGGTGGAGGGAGACTAGGTTGAGAGGCAGGGGGCTTCAGGGGCGGCTCTCCCACTGCCTGGGGGAAAGTGAAGCGCATGGGGGAAGGATTGCCCACAAACACGTTTGCCCCTGGAGAACGGACAAAAGATGGAGGCTGCCCGCCAGAGCTCTTAGCGTGATGGTCATTTGATTGCCCAGAGGGCAGAGCCGCTGGAAAGCCCCCTACCCCTAATGGAGTATGGGCCAGGGGCCCGGCCTTGAAGGCAACTTCAGGGGGCTGGGACCGAGGTGGCTTGTGTAGTGGGGCAAAAGGGTCCCGGGACTGGGGCCGTGAGGGTGGACGAGAGTAGGGGTCAGGTGACTGGAAGCAAGGGGTGACTGGTGACTGGCAGAAGGCTTCGGTGGACAGCGGGCGGGGTGTCAGGGGTGACTGAGAGCTAGACTGAGACTGGGGGCTGGCAGGTACTCGAGTGAAAGGGTCAGACGGCAAGGAGCGAGGTGGCAGGGTACAGCAACTCTCAGGAGGTGGAGGCTGAGGCCGGGGTGTCAGTGGGGGCTGTGAATAGGACTCAGGATAGGAGCCAGAAGGAGCTGAGCGATATAGGTCTGCATGGCTAGGGGGTGAGGGGGCCACAGCATGGGCAGAGGGAGGCTCCTGAGGCCTCAGGCCTATACCCGGGCTCTGCGGCTCTACCTGAGATGCCCGAGGGGTCAGGGGGGCTTTGAAGACATCCGGTGCCTTTAGCTCCAGGCTGCCTAAGTGGGGCCCGGAGGAAGGTGAGTCTCCAAAACCAAGGCTGGGGGGGCCATAGCTGGGAGAAGCTGCCCCCAGCTCCTCCTTCTTTATTTCTAGGGCCTTCCGAGGTTCTCCAAAGGGTGGAGGGGACATCAGTTGCTCAGAAGCCTTGGCCCCACCCACCCCCGGACTCTCTGGAACTGCCAAGTTGTCTAGTGAGGGGCAACGGGGTTTGAGAAAAGGATCAGGTGTGGAAGGCTGGTGCCTTGGGGTGCCAGGTGGGGTGGATTGGAACTCTCCAGGCTGGCCAGCCCCAGGCCGAGGGGGAGCACTCAGCATCTGAGGCTTCGCGGGGGCCACTGCTGGTCCAGGATAGGGGGGATAGGCTGGTGGTGCTGTGGGGAAGCGAGACTCCAGAGTATAGGTGGGGGCCAGTCCAAAAGGGTCCTGCAAAGGCACTTGGGCGGGCACCTGGGGTGGGAGCTTGAGGAAGAGATCACCAGGCGAGTCAGGGCCGGGCACCGTGCCCGTTGGTGGCTTCAGGAACCCGTCCGAGGAGGTAGACAAGCCAGCTGGGGTAGGGGGACTGCCAATGAAGACAGTCGGAGCAGAAGCTGGAGGGGGACTGCCCAGCATCCCTGGCTGAGGGGGAATGCGTAGGTGCAGGGTGGGCCGATCGGTTTTGCGGGCTATGTCGCCCACCTTGGTCTGCTTACTGATCTGGCTCTCCGCCTGCTGTAGGGGTATAAGAAGAGAGGATGGGTGAGACTGGGGGATGGAGGTGGTGGAATGGACCTGGGAGTCATGGGCTACAAGGGCCCTGGGTGTCCACTTGCTCCAGGAATGCCACTGTCCAGTTAAGGATGTATGCTGCCACAGAAAACACCCTCCCTACTCCAAATTCTAAGGCTCCCATCAGGCCCCAGGCTTCTCCCCCAATTCCCCAAGTTCCAGACTCTCACTCACCTTCTGCACCTTGTTGATGCGGTGAGCCGCCCGGTTATCTTTGGCCTTTTGCTGAGGGATAATCAGGTCCAGAGCTTAGTCATGTGCTCTGTTCCTCAAGCCCACCCTGACCTGGAAACCTATTCCCTGGGTGAATGGAGTGGAGGTGGGGGGGGAGAGACCACCAGCTCCAAGTAAACTCCCTTCTTTCCCCAAGGCCCTGGATTCCCTCCTCCAGGTGGAGCTCCTCTGGGGCCCTGGATCCCCTCCTCCAGGTGGAGCTCCCCTGGGGCCCT